ATATCCCCTTGTATATAAGGCTAGGGGATATAGTGAAGATTTGACTGCTGTGGGCAGATCTCAGGTTGTTGGGTAAGAAGAATATAACTTCATTTAAACATCTTTGGACTTCTGTGTTTAGGATTACTCTCATCTAAATTGATATGGAATAATATAACATACCTCTCTGGTTTGTGTGTGTGTGTGTTTAAACAATCAGCTGTTTTTTATCACTAAGGGAAATATCATGACTTCAGCTTTGTGCTTGTATTGCAGTTGTGTCTTCTCCTGATAACTCTAGTTTCTGCACTTAAATCCTTGTCAGTGTTCCGACACTGCATCTCAAAAATATTGTTATAATGGCAAAGGTGACACAGATTAATGAGGACATCATGTCTGTGTCTTGCGTATTAGCTTCAAGTATTGGACTTGAAGGTGCAAATGAATAATTAATCATGTGAGGCTTTTATTTATTCATTCATTTTTTCAGTTACTTTTTTTGCCCTTGTACAAAACATAAAGATTATATGTGTAGACATTCACAATTCAATCCCAAAGGACTAAGAAGCCCTCGCTCTATGAATTTAACAATCACTAAGTTTACATGTAATCGTATTTCTTCATTCATCTGTCAGCCACGCCCACATCGTAGAGCGACACCTGCCTCCTGATTGGCTCAGCGGCGGACATGTGACACAGGAAGTGGATTCTCCTGATCGCCTCGGTCGCAGCTGTCAGACAGAAGCGTTTGTGTGTTCTCGTTATTTCTGTGATTGTTGTGTTGTTGTTGTTGCTGTGTGTGTTTGACTGAGCTCTCTACACGGCTCAGACTGGTGACGTCTCACTCTGAGTCTGCTGCCCCTCTGTGTGTCTGTGAGCAGCAGTGTCAGTGAGGGTCTGTCTGTGGAAACACCATGAACGCGCTGGTGACTAAGTTAGATCACATGTGGATCAGCTTCACCTTCAGACAACCTCGGCTCCCAGCTGCAGCTGCTCCCAAGGTAAATATAGTCCCAGTGTTAGACTGTAAACAAGGTGCTGTTCGGCTGTCTGTGAAATCACTGCGCCGTGTTAAATACAACGAGACTGTATGTATGTATGTATACTGCATGTGTGTATACTGCATGTATGTATACTGCATGTGTGTATACTGTATGTTTGTATACTGCATTTGTGTATACTGTATGTGTGTATACTGCATGTGTGTATACTGCATGTGTGTATACTGTATGTATGTATACTGCATGTGTGTATACTGTATGTATGTATACTGCATGTGTGTATACTCTATGTATGTATACTGCATGTATACTG